AATCTTCCGGCAGTGGTGGCCGAAATCTAGTAAATGTGGGTTGCTGGGGTGTTTTTGCAATTTCTAAAAAAAAAAAATTAGGGGTATTTAATTAAATTAACAAATTTAGGGGGTTTAAAAAAAAAGTTGAATAATATCGTGAGTTTTTGTAATTTTATTGGTTTACTTTATTGGGAATACTATTATTAGTATTCCCAAGAGTGAGCCAAACGAAGCCATAAATACCCACATCATTATGCCCTCATGTTATTATGAGTTAGTGAAATGACCATTTTTATCCCTATGAGTTTGTAAAAAATGAGACACAACAAGTGACCAATTTATCCTTGTTTTGGTAGAAGCAGTATCAATATACTCATTTGTGGCTGAAAATTGAAATTTTTCATAATTTAAAAGAAACCATTCATACAAAAGAATTGAGCAGTTTAAACAGAAACCATGAAAATTGAAAATGCTCATAATTTAAAAGAAAGCATTCATAATTAACATCAATTCAATACATGATATTCAATATCAATTAAGTCTTCATGGTTTAAACAGAAACCATGAATTCAGTACATGAAAATGTGATATACAACTGAAACTTCAAACTTTAAATCAGGTTTGAAAAACTGAGCAGTTTCCAGATGCACACCCATAGTTGCAAAAATAGGAACAAAATTGTCCTCTTTTCCATCCTGCAAATCCACAAATGCACACCCATAGCTGCAAAAACAGGCACAAAATTGTCAAAAGACACCTTTCGAGGGGCGGACCATTGTTAAGAACAATGATATTATTTGTGACACCATTACCAAATATACTTTTCTAATGTAATAAACTGTAGATACATACTCTTGTCTGGTATAGACATCATCATTGCAAATCCACTACAATGGGAATGCATCGTGCAAACTGGATTCCTTAAAAAGAGACATGAGAACATTGAAAATTTTGTAAAGATAAAATCATGTTCCAGCATTCTACTACAGTTAAACCAACGGCAAGGGTCTGAATAGATAGACTAATCCTTCCTTAGTTCTATGTATTCACGGAGAAGACCTTCTTGATTTAGGACAACAATTTCCAACAATTTATGTTTTTTGAAAGAAACAGAAACTAAAAAAAAATTCAGATGTGATACCCTTCTAATACTCAACCCCAAACAATGAAATAGTAGTAACCCTTTTAGACAAGAACCCACACAATAATAGCAACCATCAACCAATAAACCAGAGCAATCAACCAAGAAACCTAGAAAAATATAGCAACCAACAACCAATAAATCACCCAACCAGTAAGCCAATACAAGGATAATAAACAACAAAATGCAACCCAACGACACAGATAAAGAGTAGCAAAGCAAAACTAAGACAAAAAGAGAAAAAAACAATGCAAGACTTTGAATATCTTCCCCTATTTTCCACTCTTCACTTTTCTGAATATCCTCCCCAATTCTCCCTGACTCCTTTTTATCCCATTCAGAATCTCTCCATGACAGAATTCCCACCTATCCCACATAATTCTTCCTCAACATTCACACGCTTAGGAACACTTTTGTCCAATTACAAATAATCCTCTACTACCCACTCCAACACATCAGGTGTTTCATCAGATTCGCATAATTCAACTGCTAATTATCTTGCACATGAACATATCACATTATAGCTAAGTAATAATACACACCTATTCTTTTTAGTTGTTGTGTTAGAGGTCTAGGTGGAGAAAAAACATTTAGTTGACTAAGCAACATGTTTGAAACACTGAACAAAGTACAAAAACAATAGGTTAGAATAGGATAATCAAAGTACAAAAAAAAAAAAAAAAAAAAGTGATAGAAACAAAAACAACCTACTGCTATAGCAAATAAAAGAACTTCCCCATTAGAGGTGGAACAAATGGGCTGTTATACAATAACGATCAACCCGTCGGGTTGACCTGCGGATTGGCCAAAAAAAAAATTAATTTGTTTTTTCAAATTACCCCTTTACCCTTAAAATATAGCCGTTGGAGGGGTCTTTTTCGTCATTTTCCTTTCCCATTTTTTCTATAAATTGGCCCTAAACTCTCACATTTTTCTCACAACTCAAATTCTCTCATTCTCTCATATTCTCTAATCTCTAATCTCTCAATTATTCATTTATTCTCTTAATCTCTTTGTTATCAATTTGCTCGTATTTTAATTTTTTATTAGTTTTTGTAATTTTTAATTCATATTTCCAATTTTCCAAATTCCAATTTCCATATTCCAATTCTCATTCTTTAGTTTTTCTTTCTTCTATATCAATTTTTTTTTTTCAACTACAATGGATAGATATTTCTCTCCCATCAATTACAATGATGAAGGAAACTACTATTCTAGTCCTAGTCCTATTCCCACTGATTTTACTAACATAAATGCAGGAGGAGATTCAAATAGTCCCACTTTCCCATTCTCAAAATCCGATACACCTCAAAATATGCCCCCGATTCCAACAGCTCCCAGTGGTTCTAGAAGTCGTCCTCGTAATCGTCGTGCTCGTCCAACTTCATCTCAAGCTAAGGCGGGATCATCAACTACCGTCTAAACCGAAGACAGACACACATCAGACGTTTGGACGCATTTCGACAAGTTTTACGAGACGAAAAATGGCGTTCAAGTCAAGAAAGCGAGATACAAATACTATGGAAATATTTATAAAGCTGATTCAGGTAATGGTACTAGTACTTTAAAAAGGCATGCTAATAAACATATTAATCAACATGAAAATAGAGAAAGCAATCAAACTCAAATAACTAATATGGGTACTACTTGGCATTATAATTCTGATGTATATAGGGAATAGTTAGCTTTATATATTGCTGCAATTGATCAACCTATTAATATGGCTGAAGATAAATATTTTGAAAGATTTGTTTAGCATTCATTTTTTCCAGGATTTAAAAGTTATTCTAAAACTGCAGCTAGAAATGATTTAATAAAATGTTTAGAAAAATGAAATTAGAATTAAAAAATAAAATACATACTTGTCATGTTAGTGTGGCTCTAACTGCTGATTTTTTGAGTGGTAGAGCTAAACAAGATTATATTTGTGTGAATAGTCATTATTTTGATAATGAATGTAAATTAAATAAATATTTATTAGGATTTAGATTAATGGATGTTGATCATAGTGGTCAACAAATTTATAATAAAATTGTTGAAGTTTTAGAAGATTATGATATTGTTAGTAAAATGATAAGTTTAACTTTAGATAATGCAAGTTCTAATAGTAAAGCTATAGATTATTTTCAAAGTAATTATCCTTTATATAACAATTTGAAGTTTTTTCACCAACGTTGTGCATGCCATGTTATTAATTTAATTGTGAAAAGTGGTATGAAAACAATTAAAGAAAATATTAATAGAATTAGAGATTGTTTAGCTTGGATTACTAGTAGTAATAAAAGAAATGCTGAATTTCAAGACGCTTGTATAAAATCAAATATGTCTCCTAGAACTTTTGCATTAGACATGCCTGTTAGATGGAATAGTACTTATTTAATGCTTGATTCATGTTTACCTTATGCTAATATAATTAGTTATTTTGTAGCAAATAATAGAGGTCCTCATTATTTGGTAGAAAATGATTGGCAAATAGCTAAAGTATTTCATTCTTTTCTTAAAACTTTTTACCAATCCACTTTACAACTTTCTGGTGTGTATTATCCTATTAGTCCATTGGTAATACATACAATTATAAAAATTTCCGAGTTATTTATAAAAAACAAAGACAATGTAATTTTAAATGCACCAATAAAGGCAATGAATTTTTTTTTTTTTAAAAATATTGGGAACCCATTCCTTTTCTTTATTGTTTAGGTGCTATATTTGATCCTAGAATTAAATTAGCAGGTTTAGAAAATGGTTTTGACAATTTATGTGAAAATTTACAAACCGAAGTATATGCCAATCAAATAGGAGAGGTAAAAAATACACTTTTTGAAGTATATTTCCAGTATGAAAACAGGTATGGGAACCCGCAAAGAGGCGAAACATCCAGGGAAGCTGCATCAGAAGAAACAAATGAAGACTTCTACTCTTGGGGTGCACTGAATAGGCCGAAGAGGACCCGAATCCGAAGCACAGCCTCCTCTTCAGAAGCTCCACCAACAACAACAACAACAACTAATGTACTGTCTTCCATGCAGTCGCAGAGTAATGAGCTTCAACAATATTTGGCAGCCCCTGAAATGTTACTAGTAGATCCACAATAGAGAGCCAACATTGATCTCTTAGACTATTGGAGAGCTAGAAAATGTATTTTTCCAGTATTATCAAGACTTGCCTTGGATGTTTTCGCTGTTCCTGTCTCAACCGTCTCATCTGAACAAACATTTAGTGCAAGTGGAAGAATTTTAAATGAAAGGAGGACTAAACTTTCACAAAAAATGATTGAAGTCCTCATATGTCTTCGAGATTGGGAACGGTCGCGCCATCAAGGTCAATACGAGGTTGTCGACGATACTTTAATAAAATCATTTCAATTTTGTAATATAGATGATACGGATGAGGGAGGTCCTAGTGAACCCCAAAATTAGTTGTTTTGTAAATTGTAACTTGTAAATTAATTATCAATTATTGCATTCTTTTTTCCTTACCAAGTTTCTGTTCCATTGGGTTTTTTTTTGTGAGGTTTTTAACGAGACAATAATTATTGTAATTTCTTATTTTATTTTTTAATAAATGAATAAATTTAATTTTTCTTATATTACAATTTTAATGTATTAAAATTGAATTATATTTGGAATGTTAACAAAAAAAAAAAAATAAATAATTTAATTTAATTATTGATATTTGAAAAGAAGTTAACACTTAAAAAACAATTACATTTATTCATTTATAAATTGTTAATTATTCATTTGAAAAGTTAATTAAACATTTAAACTTAAACAAAATAAATCAAAAAAAAAAAATCAAAAAGAGGGTTAACTCGGCCCAACCCGACGGGTTAGGGTTGGCGGTCCGGGTTGGGCCAGCCAATTCCCCAACATTGGCGGGCCTAACTCGGCCTGCCAATGTTGGCGGGCAGGTCAGGATCGACTCGCCACTTTGCGCAACCCATCGCGGGTCGGGCTGGGCGGGTTGCTTTTCCACCTCTATTCCCCATTGCATTATTGACTTGGTTGACCTATTAAGAGAAGTAAGAATAACGTTAGCAAATGTAAAAAGTAATTGATATAAATATTATATGGTTTAAAATAGTTGTAAGTACCCCTTGAACTTGAAGCTTGGGACATGTTTGCTGCAAATCGAGCTCCTGAAGGGGTGCAGTCGTTGTAGGCACAAAGGTTCGCTGCAAATAAAAAAATAGAAATCAGTATTATAAGAGAAAATATGATGAAATTGACATTTTTTCTATTACCTTCTGCTTCTTCCTTTTATCTGCATTTGCTTGCTTTTTTTTGTAGGACCTTTTATTATGCCCCAAGACACTGCAGACACTACACCTAAGTGTAGAGACCCTTTTAGATTTTGGCTCTTCATTTGGATCTCTCCTTCTTGATTTCGAAGGTCTGCCGACCTTGGGCTGCCTGTATGGTGGCCAAATATTTCATTACTAACCTCTGGCCAACTAGTCTTGTTGGGAACAGGGTGGACCATGTATGCATAAGTTTGTAGGTACATCGAATCTCTAAGCTTCAGATCAACATGATGTTCATAGTTGGAAATGTTCTTGTGTAACAAACAGGCAATAGCATGAACACAAGGAATTCTCGATAGTTGCCACATCCCACAATCACACAGTTGCTTACCCAAAACCAGAACATGAGTTTTACATGGGTTTGCATTCTCATCATCTACTTCAAACTCATCAGATCCAGGGTACCAGACTTTGACATTTCTAGCTGCCTCAATCATCTTGTTTATCTTTCTATGAACTACTGGTGGAAGAGGTGTAATCCACTCTGTACCAGCTTTCAATCTACATTGTAATCGTTTCATTACCCTACGTAGGTAAAGTTCCAGTAGACTTAGTATAGGAAGTTCCCAATCTTCACCAAGCCTTGAGTTGAAACACTCACTCATGTCGTTAGTTATGTGATCTGACTTTGCTGTTGTGTCAAAGGCATGTCTGGACCATTGGCCTGGTTCATTTTCAAGCAACCATTTGTATGCACCCTCATCTACATCCTTGACACTTCCCATGGCCTTAACAAAATCTGGTCTGTTTGCAGCCTTACTCACTGCCCAAAACAATTTCCTCATGTGAACCCCAGGAAATTTTTTTTTTCTGAAGTTTGCGTACACATGTTGAGCACAAAATCAACTCCTTGCATTTGACCACTTTGCTTCTAGTGCATTTAGAATACCCTTCTGCCTATCACTCATGAATGTAACATGCTCTAAATCACCCAAAAAATCATGCAATGGTCCAAGGAAGAAACCCTATGAGTCATTATTCTTTGCCTCACAAACACATATTGCCAAAGGGAATATCCCACTGTTTGCATCCATAGAGATTGCCGATAGAAGTACCCCACCATAGTGACCTTTCAAATGAGACCCATCAATTCCTATGAAATGCCTACACCCCTCCAAAAATGCTCTTTTTTTAGCAACAAAACTTACAAAAAATCTCTTGAATCTAGGACTTTGTGGGACTATTTCTCTAATTGTAAGATTGTTTGGGTCTTCTTCTCTAACCAACCTAAGTTCTGTCATGGATCCAGGGTTGGTGACCTAAAGAATGTGGTTGTACTTGAACAACCAGCCAAAAGACTCAACATGTTGTTTTTGGGTCATTTCAATGGCCAACCTCCTAGTCCTATACAACTCCCTTTTATGTATCTCCAAAAAATGCACCTTTCTTAATTTAGCATCTAAGGGCTTAACACAACTCCCCTTGTGTGACTAAATGAATCCCCCCATCTTCTTAGCAATCCATGAGGAAGGCATGTGTGGTTGGTTTCATATTTCCTAATCTCTCACGATTGTTTGTCAACCATTAAGGTTGCAAATAGAAAGAATGAGCAGCCCTCTTCTTTACACACTGCTTTGATCCTCCGCTTGTCATTATGCACCCTTCTCACTGCGAACCCTCTCTGAATTATGTAGTCCTTGAAAATTTCACTAAAATGAATTTTATTTCTAAAAACCTGCCCCACCTCAAATTTAATTTTCCTATATGCCCCATACTGAAACTCACTTGCCTTCATATGCCTACTCATCCTACACACTGTATCCTCGTCCTCACTAGTCCCCCCCATGAAATCGTCACTGTTTTTCTTGTAATCAGACAGATGCCCCCCAGTTTCAGCCCCTACATTTCCCTTATTATCACTAGTTTCATCCCTTTCCTCTCTCCCATCATCTCCATCATTATCACCAGCCTTACCATCAACATTCCCAACTGCACCAGCAAATCCATTACTGCTTTTATCATCATTAGAGGCATCACTCCAATGGAAGTCATCCTCACAATACTCTTCGGGGGGAATTTCTGTTTGAGTGTCATTAGGTTTAGTATGGTTGGGTTTTGGCAAAGGTTGCAATGGTTCCACACACTGTATAGGTAAAGCTTCGACATACAACCTAATGTTCTTTAACCCCTCGGACCTATATTGCTGGAAAAGGAATGTCACATCCTCATCACTATCTATTAAACATTTCTCCCTGACAATAGTAAAGTAGATTCCACCCTAAACTTTTCATTAAGATTAAGTTGAACTATCTCATTCTCTTATGCAACACATTTTTTCATATCCTTTATCAATACTATGTAGCTAAATTCATCGGGGTCCACATTCCGCATCTCACAATCAATACCGAACAACTGAAATTTCAAATTAAATAGTTGCGGCTCCATCCTGCAACCCCAAAATATATAAGACAGGCTATTCACACTCCCAATAATCAATTCAAGCAAACCAGCCCCAGTGTTTGGCTAGATTTTATTAATTACACACTCCAGCATATAATCAACTCTTTTAAGAACAAACCCTAAATCAATCAAACAAACAAAAAACCTTAAAAACAACCAAACATGTAAAACTAAGAACATTCATTACACACTGCTACATACAATGAGATTGGTACGTGGCATTGTTAACCAAGTGGTCAACCCGTAAACTTATAGGCCTCTGCACATACAAAGTACTCTTTCCTGCCAATAGCAGTGCACACCCAGTTTTCCAAGTGATATACCATACCTCATTAACAAAATATAGTATCAAACATCACAAATGAAGGACATCATATAATCAACTCTGTTAAAAAAAAAAAAAATCTAGTTGTGGCTTCAACCTGTAACCCAAAAATATATAAGACAGGCTATTCACACTCCCAATAATCAATTCCACCAAACCAGCCCCACCGTTTGGCTGGATTTTATTTATTACACACTCCAGTATATAATCAACTCTTTTAAGAACAAACCCTAAACCAAGCAAACAAACAAAAAACCTTAAAAACAACCAAACATGTAAAACCAAGAACATTCATCACACACTGCTACATACAATGAGATTGGTACGTGGCTTTGTTAACTGGGTGGTCAACCCGTAAACTTACAGGCCTCTGCACATACAGAGTACTCTTTCCTGCCAATAGCAGTGCACACCCAGTTTTCCAGCCGATATACCATACCTCATTAACAAAATGTAGTATCAAACATCACAAATGAAGGACATCATATAATCAACTCTGTTAAAAAAAATCTAGTTATGGCTTCATCCTGCAACCCAAAAATATATAAGACAGGCTATTCACACTCCCAATAATCAATTCAAGCAAACCAACCCCACCGTTTGGCTGGATTTTATTCATTACACACTCCAGCATATAATCAACTCTTTTAAGAACAAACCCTAAACCAAACAAACAAACAAAAAACCTTAAAACAACCAAACATGTGAAACCAAGAACATTCATTACACATCGTCGTCGACCTTAGTTCAGTCATCCTCTATCGTCGTCATTACCCCACGACCCTAAACCAAACAAACAAACAAAAAACTTTAAAAACAACCAAACATGCAAGTAAGAAAAACCAAGAACAAATAAGAAAAACCAAAAACTTAGAAGTGCATAAAATAAGAAAAAACCGAAGAACAACCAAGAAAACCAAGAAGAAACTTTCGGTTAACCCTTCAGTTTTCGTTGTTTAATCATCGTCGATGATTTATACTGTTAATAACGTCGGCCTTAGTTCAGTCGTCCTCCACCGTTGTTGTTACCCCATGATTCCCTTAGACGTCGTCTATTGTCTTCATTTAGGATTCGTGGTCGTTCAGTGAACTTACTCTGCCACTGTCGCCGGGTTTAACTCCTCCATTGTCATCGGTTTTCGTTTCACTATCGTTGATGATGGTTTCCAAACAATGGAAGCAACTTTCTTCAAAAGCTTCTTTCAGAGAGTTAGAGACAAATGAGAAAGAGAGTTAGAGACAAATGAGAAGGAAATGGAGAGGCAAAAGTTTTGCTTTATTTTGGTTTATTTGATTTTTTGCAAAGTCAACTTAATAGGACACGTGTGAGTCTCTAAAGCGAATCTTCCAAAAGAAGTTTCGCTCCAGATATTGAGGTGATAATTTGAAAGTTAAAAGTTTGATGGCTGTACAAAATTATTGTATTACCCTTTATGAAACAGAAATCACTAACAGTACAGAACATAAAGTACTTATTTGTCGTTTCTAAACCTTTTGCGTACCCATTTGTCTTTACGGCAAACCTTGGGTACTTGTGAGTCATTCGGCCGCCATAATATTACCTTTTATAACTCATCTTCCTTAGCTTTTATTTTTTTATTTTTTATTTTATCATGTGTTTAGACTAGTTTGTACGCACCTCAACTAATCATTTGAGACCCTAAAGTTGACAATCGGATAAATCCCCTTAGTGGCCACCCTAGTTAGTAAAAATGCGTTTTATATGCGAATTATACGAACTAGCTAGTAAAAACACGTACTATACGCGAATTGTACGGACAGCCATATAATTCGCGTATAAAACTCACATATACATATTTTGTAAAATCTGCCGTATAATTCACGTATAATAAGGCTTCCCGTATAATTCGCGTATAATAAGGCTTCCCGTATAATTTGTGAATAGTTCGTGAATTATTGAAAAAAAAAAAAAATCTCACTCCCAAAATGACGTCATTTTAGTGGGTTTTTACTAAAAATTAAAATAGATCTCTCTTCTTCGGTTCTTCTTCAGTTCTTCTTCAGCTTTTCTTCCTTAGTTCTTCACAAATTTCCACAAGCAATCAATCCCACAATCAACACACAACAATCAACTCCAGCAAACAAGCTATCAACTCCCACAACTGACTCCAACAAACAAATTTCCATAAGACAGTTGCTCAGGCAACAAAGATGATTGCATAGTCACAAATCGGACTACAGAGCGGCGAGGCTGAGGACATCGGCAGACCCAATCATGTGAACCAATCACAAGCACTAAACACAAAACCCAAGAACGGTGTGAGGGGGCGCAGATCTTGGCCACACGCAATGGCCAACTGTGGTCAGTCGTCGGTCAGCAAGAAATGTAGAGGGAGAATAGAAGAAATAGAAGAAGAGGGAGAGAAGAGAAGGGAAGAGAAATAAAATAGACATAAGTTTATACAAAAGAGACAAAGGTTTAAGAAGGAAGTGAAGAGAAGGTGGAGAAAACAAAGAGAAAGAAGAGAAGAAACTTACAGAAGAAAGAGAGAAGAAAGTTTTGAAAAGAACGAGAAAATGAAAGAGAAGAGAGAGCAGGGAGAAAATTAAAAATTTAATAAAATATATAGTATTAACTTTTACATGGTACATTTGTAATTTTTGTAAACTGATTGCGGGGTGTATTTATAATTTTTGTAAACAATTGGTTTTGTCATGACTGTATTTGATTTGACACTATAGTTGAATCTTGGCTAAATATTGTGTTTGAGTCTGGAGACTATAATTTGAATATCAGTTATATTTATATATTGTGTATTTGTGTTATTGGTTAATTAAATACTTTGCATTTGAAATGTTATATTAATTTTAACCAGGTAGTCCATAAAAGTATTAAAACTAAGATTGATATTGCCGCATTTTGCAAAACGTATTATTGATAATACATCGTATTAAACCCATATATACCCGTACCGTATTTTTTCCATATCCGAATTTTATGGCTGAATTTTTATAAACGTATTTTTCACCGTTTGCCGTATTATACCCGTAAAATTCCCGTACAGTTTTTTTGCCGTACCTGTATTTACTAACTAGGGT